CTCCCGTGCTTGGTGGGATCTGTGAGCACGAGAGTGGAGGAGAAGGCGTCTTCTCTCCGTGCTTGGTGGGATCTGTGAGCATAGAGTAGAGGAGAAGGCGTCTTCTCTCTTGTGCCCAGCTGCAGTTGCCCGGCACACACCTAAGGTTCTACTGTGGAGATAGAAGGGATGGGCTGTTTCAGATACAGTTTGGCCAAATATTAAACATATATTCTACTCATGGTTTCACGTTTCCTCATTTAGTCAGTAAATGTTTACCAAGCACAACTGAACTAGTTAAGCCAAGGAGTCATAGAGACGGCTGAAGAAAAGCAGTATGTATAGTAAGATATATGTCGGTTTGTGTCTGTAGACATTGAGGGACCAGTGTGGCTAATTTGTGAGGAGAGCACCTGTGAGCTGGGCTGTGAGGCTTCCCCTGGGCCCGAGTGCCCTCACCGGGTCACTGCTGCCCGCCTCAGGCCCATGTTCTCATTTCAAAGCAGCCTTTCAGCTTACACAAGCACAGGGGTTAGGGGACGACAGCCTGGGACCACGACCTGGGCCACAGAGGGGCCCTTGTAGGAGCTGAGGTGGGCATACACCACCCTGCCAGGATGCTCTGAAGTTGCCTCGTGCACCCTCACCAAGCTCTGAGGCAAATCTGCTGGAAGAGCTTGGACAAAGCCGTCTGTTTCCCCGCCATGGTTAATTCCTGCCTCTTGGGGTGTTTTGAGGGCAGAACAAGATGCTGTATGTGAACACACTAAGAATCCTAATGCAGGAGCCAAATGAGGGTGAAAGATTAGGGCGCAGCCTCCCTGTTGCCGCTTCTCAGAAACGCTCAGGCATTAACTCGAGCTTCTACAGTGTGTCGTGTGCTTGCTGTCATTCTTCCATCCGACAGAGTGGTCCTCTAAGGTCTAAAACTCCATGCCCCTTTGCCCGCCTGGCTCTTAAAAGCGACCTGCAGACATGTGGTTTTGTTGTCTGAATTGGCCCTGGCACCAAAACCCAAACACAACAAGCGAACCAACAAAGCTAAGCTGCTCACCAGTGCCTCATTGCCAACTCGGGGGACACAGGCAATGGCATTCTCCTGCGGAATAACTAACCGGGCGCTTCCTTTTGAAACTGCCTTAGAGGACACACAGACTGTGGTGCTGGGGAGAGATCTGTTCTCATCAGCGTGAGGAACCTGCCCCCAGCATGGGGACCTGCTTCTCCTTTCATCTTAATTCAGACCTTAGCGTGCAGAGCCAAGCACTGGTGGACAGACGCCTGCGCCCGCCCCCCAGTAGTCCCTGACCCGAGTTCAGGGCTCCAAATGCCACAATTGCTTCAGCAAAGAACTCTTTGGGCTCCCAGAGTGTTTATTAAGAATTGAAAGCCGATGGCACTGAAGCCCCCTCCCCCCACTAGTGCACCACGAACAATGAGCTACTTCCTGTCTGTCCAGCATCTCCATGTCAGCACACCTGGGTCACCTCTGAGCACCTGTCCTGAGTTCAGCGTGGCAGGGAACCGCACACGTCCTCAGCCAGCGTGCGGGTCCTTGGGCGGAGGGGCCACGCCCCAGACACCACACACACCTTCGTCCGAAGCCCGGCCCTTTCTGGATGAGAAGATGCCAGCTTTCGGAAGACGCAGCTTGAGGTTTGGGAAGGCGGACAGTTCCCACAGCGCTGAGTGTTCTCAGAACGATTCACCAAGGAAGAACAAATGCACGTTGTGATTCAGTCTAAGTCCTTGTTTCCGTTTCCAGAGAGACTGTGGAATGTCTCCTCTGACCACAGAGTGAGAACGGCTCTCCCCTAAACACTGTATTCTGTAAGTGCGTGGAAAACCTTGTGCAACGGAGCTGATGATGTTTAAAATGTAAAAAAAAAAAAAAAAAAAGTTAAAAAAAAATTCTTAAGTGGATCTGAAAGATAGCAATGTAAAAGTAAGATCCAGTGCCAATTAGTTGTCTACTCCAAACAGACACGGTGGGTGCAGCAGACACAAACGAGGCCTAGGCAACTCTTGGTCACCTCTCTCTGTGGAGGGGACAGTGTTCTGGTCAGTCCTGGTCACCTCTCCCTGTGGAGGGGACAGTGGTCTGGTCAGTCCTGGTCACCTCTCCCTGTGGAGGGGACAGTGGTCTGGTCAG